CCCTTCTCACTGAACAGTGATTGATTAGCTTGATCATTCTATTAGGAAAACCTTGGTAATGACACTATTGATTGTTGCTGTCCTTTGATACTTCTGATAAGCATTATCTCTGATAGACATACTCTGATATTTATAGCAGATATGATATCTTCGAATTTATTGCATTTTTTTTAAGTGTTAAATATGTAATAAAATTTTGTGAAATGTCTATTTTTTCTTCTAGACAATGTTTTCGTTTGTATACTGAACGTAATTATCGTGAAGAAATGCTCAAAACAAATGTACCTGAAATTCAACGAACTAATTTAGCTAATGTTGTTTTATTACTTAAATCACTTGGTATACAAGATCTTCTACAATTTCATTTTATGGATCCACCACCACAAGTAATCATTTTTAATATTAAAAAGAAGAAAAAAAGTAAATCATTGTTTTTATTTTTTTCTAGGATAACTTAATGAATTCAATGTATCAATTATGGATATTAGGTGCATTAGATAATACAGGTTCATTAACACAATTAGGTCGACAAATGGTTGAATTTCCACTTGATCCAGCTTTATCACAAATGTTAATAACTTCTGTTGAAATGGGTTGTAGTAGTGAAATTCTTGTAAGTTTTTATTATTATTTGTTGTTGTTGTTGTTGTTTAAATTAAAATTTTAATGTTTATTTTAAGATAATTGTATCAATGCTTTCTGTACCATCGATATTCTTTCGTCCAAAAGGAAAAGAAGAAGAATCTGATGCTAAACGTGAAAAATTTCAAGTTGCTGAAAGTGATCATTTAACATTTCTTCATGTTTATATTCAATGGAAAAAAAGTGGATATTCAAATAATTGGTGTTCTGATCATTTTATCCATGTTAAAGCTATGAGAAAAGTTCGAGAAGTTCGACAACAATTAAAAGATATAATGGATTCACAAAAATTAGATGTTAAATCATGTGGAAATTGGGATATTGTAAGAAAATGCATTTGTGCTGCTTATTTTCATCAAGCAGCTCGACTTAAAGTATTTATATATATATATATATATATTCATATTTAAGATTTTATTTTATAATTGTTTTGTTTTTTCTTCAAGGGTATTGGAGAATATGTTAATTTACGTACAGGTATGCCATGTCATTTACATCCAACTAGTGCATTATTTGGTTGTGGATTTACACCTGATTATATTGTTTATCATGAACTTATCATGACGACAAAAGTATGTTTGAAATTAAATGAATTATTTTGTTTTTTATTTATATTTTGAAGGAATATATGCAATGTGTAACATGTGTGGATGGTCATTGGCTTGCTGAACTTGGACCAATGTTTTTTAGTCTTAAAGATTCACTTAAAACTCGTAGTGAACGTGCACGAAAAGAAACATCAGAAAAGTTAACTATGGAAGAAGAAATGCGTCTTGCACAAGAAAAATTAAATCGAATGAAAGAAGAAGCTCTTGCTGCATGTTCAACACCATCAACAAGAAATCGAATTGTTACACCATTTAATCGTATACAAACAGCCTCTACACCAAAACGAAATACACCATTTCGTACTGGAATGTAATCTTTTTTTGTCCATGAATATAAATCTTGATGTATTTGTTTGTATTGTGTTTTGTACAAAGATAAAAATATATGAGAGATATCTGTTGTTTTTCGTATAAAGAAAAGAATTGTTCATATATGATGATTTTATTTATCGAAACAAAAAAGGATATAGACATACTAATGAAACATCAACGAACTTTCTTTCTTGGAATAATGCCGAGTTCGCGATTAGATTCTTTCGAAGATTATGAATTGACTGTATTAATGTCTTATATTGGATGTAATCTGGTTTCTAATAAAAGAAACTGACTAAAAAAAATTCAATCAATACACAGCAACGTCTCAATCAGTAAAAAAATAATACTAAGAATGGAACGAATAGTAACAAATCAACAAGAAAAACTAAAAAAGTTCGGACTCAAGGCCTCTTTGTGCTAATGATGTGAAATCTCTAGTTGTTCAATCCTGTCAGTTAGAAAGAGACTAAATTTTGATGCCTGCTTATGAATAAATTTTGTCAGTATAGTCTTGAAATTATTCTCTATCGCTATCTATAAGTTTGCATCACTTTGCTACTATACTGAGACTCATTTTATCGTTAATATCATCCTTGTTAAATGCTTGATAAAATATTGACAAGACTGGATATTTTAGTTTCAATCCTGGTAAAAAATTTTACTCTTAGTTCCATAAGAATTAGTATCAGTTTGTCCAATTGATGTTTGGTCTATGAAGCAATAAAAACATCCTTTCGATCCATGAGTGTCAGCTTAATCTTCGTTCAAATAGACCAAAAGCTCGGTATGAAATACGAAAAAAAAGAAAATAACCTAAATCTGACAGAACAAAAACAGATGATGTATACATCCTCGAGTAATAATAAATTATCGAAGAATTTAACAGAAGTCAAAGTCGGTCGAAAATTTTGATTGGCTAAAGTCGCCATAAAATTAGATATTGATCATTCTAGTGCAACTAGTGACGGATCCAAGGTTTCGGCGAGAGGATGGCGATTTCTAAACGATGCCTTCCGAGATAGTGTAGATTTTTTTCCGAAACAGATCAAATAAGGCGCTTTCGCATTTTTTTTTACCATATTGATTTTATAGAATAAATCTAGAAATTCATGACTAAACAGATTTCATCAAGAGAAGAAGAACTGATTTTTCATCCATTTTAAACGAAAAAATCTGATTTCATCTCTTTTCATCTTCAGTTCTATTGAAAAACAATGAGAAGTAAGGCCTGAAAACCTGAAGACGTTTAGATTTGAATATTTTATCAGTAACAAAATCAACTGGTTAGCTCTATAAAGAAGGTTCTATAATAACTGATGATAAATTGTTTTTCATGTTGTTTATACTTTTCGTTGACCTAGAGAGCTGAAATTTTTTATCGTATATACGTCTAATCAAGATCTGGCATTTCTGAAAGTTTCAGCTCTCCAGCTGCAACCAGTCATGGAGTCCATTTACACGACTAAAACACATAAATTTTCGTAAAAATCTTTTGCAAGATTTTCACTATATAGGAAATCATGATAGAATTATAACGGCAAACCATAGGAATAACTTTACCATCATCCTCACTAGTAATGTTTAGATACCTTTATTACACACGCGCGCACGTAAATTTATATAAGAGAGAGAATAAACGACAAACGCAGAAAAGAACAATAGAGGAAGAACACAAAAAAAAGAGTAAAATGAACAAGGAAACAAAATTATCGATGAGTGATATTGTATGCACAAAAGTGACTAAGATTTGTTTATAAATATACGGAAGGGTATTTAAATGTAGAACCGTTTACATTTAACAATAAATTTTATCTTGAATGTCCATCAATTACGAAAAAAAAGAAAAGATTTTAGAAATTTTGTATTAAATTTAAATCGACTGAACAAGACATGGACTGTTAGTCGTATGGTTCGCTTCATTCAAAATTGTGATAATTCACCACTATTAAAGTACATATCACTTCACAACTGTGTGTCATGAATATTTAAAAGAGGAACGATTAACGACAAGAAAAGATCCGGTCATCCTGTAGCAGTTACAACACATAAATTTCAACAAAATATTAATAATTATAATAGATTGAAACAAGGTGCTTCTGTTAGAAAAACTGATCTTATTCTCAAAAGAGAATTATCGTGTTGGCACATAAGTTCTGCACGTTTGAATCAGTAGAATTATATCGCCAACATAAAAATACATTTTACGGAAAGTAATTATATATTCTAATAGCGCTCGAAATCTTCTATCATTCTGAATATTTAAGTCTTGACTTGCATTTATTTGCTGAAAAATATTCTGAGCACAGTAAAGACACCCTCACCCTCAGAGTCCCACGAACTCCATTTTTTGTCTCTTTCTTATGCGTTTTTAAAATATTTACTTGTGCAGTAATCTGTTTCTTTAGAAAAGTAATTATATATTCTGAGAGCCCTTGGAATGCTCTGTCATCCTCTATATTGAGATCTGAACTTACATTTATTTGCTGAGAAATATTTCGAATATTATCAATGCGGGCGAGAGTGTCTTCACTGTACTCAAAATACTTTTCAGCAAATAAATGCAAGTCAAGACTTAAATACACAGGATGATAGAGAATTTCGAGCGCTATCAGAATATATAATTCCTTTCCTTAAAATGTAGTTCAATGTTGGCAATATAATTCTACTGATCCAAACGTGCAGAACTTATGTGCCAACAGGATAGTATGTCCTTTTATTGAATATTAATACATGATTGTTTACATCGATATATTTTTTTTGATTGATATTTCTGAGACTAGTGAAAAAGTATTAAACCATTATGTTCTAATAGAAAGTATGACAGAGTAATAAAATGTGTTTGAATGAATTCTTTTATTCACATTCGAGTAGGGAAGAAGCTGAAAAATAGAGAATTTCACACAAATTTTTTTATTGGTATTCTCTTTTCAAAGAGACCATTTGTTCAAGGTTCTTATTTACAATACAAGTGGTCTCATCCTATTCCATGTTGTAATCATCATGAGATTACACCAGACGGTTTTTCTTAAGCATAGTTAATTACTAAAAATCCACTTCATACGATATTGATTGCGACAAACTCTCTGATTCTTAGTGAGCAAATTCTATATTTATATGATAAGAAGTAAGCGTTCTAAATTTTGCAAAATTCGTGGCATATTAGACAGTTATGAAAAGAATCAAGACGCCAAAAATTTACAATATTTATTAAACAATTCAATTTTACATTGTAAAAAAGAAACACCAAGTATATTATTCAATAATATTTAATTGTATGCAGTCAAACAATATATTGCGATAACTATTATCTAATGCAATTTGAAATCCAAAATAAATATCCGATAATTCGAATGCTTTTATTTTATCCATTGTTTCATTAAACCAATTAGTATTTCCATGTAATAAATAGTTTGATTCAAACCAATCAAAATTCATTTATTTCCAATCACATTCACAATCAAGACCATAATCAGCTAAAGCATAAAAATAACATTCCACACTTTTTTCTACTTTATGATCTTTACTACAACATTCATTATAGTATGTTAAATATTCATTATTCTTATCCAGTTTAATATGACATATAATTTCATAGATTCCAGCTAATATTAATTTAAATTTACCTTTTATACCAGTTATATCCCTCGATCGAATTAAATATAAACGGACACATCGACCTGTTAAACTATTTAAATCATATTCAGGATTTAGATATTTTCGCATGGGACAACATCTATGACGTGGTGTACAACGAAGATCTATTGCAAATAAATCAACACCTATAATAAACGTTTTAGCTTCAATAAAGTAATAATAAATTAATTTATACATTGATATTTGTCGAATATTTTCATTATTTAAATAGTTATTTCTGTTCAAATAAGATCAAAAGAATTCTTCAATCATCAAAGACATTTTTAATTCATTTGTACGTGGACATCGTTTTTGGCTAGTTATACTTTTATGAGATATATAACCATCACTATTATCTTTACTATTTAATACATTCAATAACCAATAATTACACATATCGCACTCTAAATGACTGCGAAAATATTTTTCGAATTTTTGTATATCTTCTTCTGTTCGATATAAAATATAATCAGAATTTCTCTTATTTTGAAATATTTCATTAACATAGAGCTGATATAATTTCTATTCAAAATGATTTTGAATTAAAATATATAATTGTTTGCATGTTTTTGATAAATTTATAACATCAATGAAAGATAAATATTTACATATATAATACAAAACATGACGTGGAAGATCATTTATATTCATTTTAATCTGAAAAGAAAAATGTAAAATAATCTGACAAATCATCTCAAATAAACAATCAAAAATAATAAAAAAAAACAAACAACAAGTCTTTCAGTTTCTGTTTGAGATAAATGCCATTCTCACCGCCCTAGAGAACATACTGAGTTAAGGGTACCCGAAAAAGTATCCTGTTACCGGTACGTCACAGGAACTTTTTGGTACCAAAGTACCTAAGACGTATTTTGGCAGGTACCCTGCTACAAAATGTATAGTAACTGGGTACTTGAAGATACTGATCAAATACTCAATTATGTACTATTGTACAGTATTTCTAGGTACCCTGCTACCAAAAAATTTCAGTATGTTCAGGATCGAACCTGACCTTTCACTTTTTGCATTTTTTTTTCTCAAAGCGATTCATTACATTTTTTTCGATTTTATTATATTTAATTTTTTCAATTCCGAAAATTCAACAGGTCAAATGTCGAGATCTGATCAAATTTGAGTTGGTCGAGTATCCATAAGATCACCTTAAGATAGTCCGCTCTTAATTTACGATCAAGATTGGCAAGTTCTCGACTAAGGAATAATCAAGAAAGAGTGAAGAAATAATCTAGAAAAAATTAGTATGAAAACAGATTAATTTCTTCTATTTTGCTATGTTATTTATACGGAGCCGTGCGCGAAAAAGAAAACGGTAAATGAACAGTAGCTATGCAGAACGCGACAAATGTAGGGTACCCTGTAGAGTTTTCCTCAGTAAAATTACAGATGCGGGTATCCATACCAGCACTTGCTCAGTGAGCATACTTTTATGGGTACCTTTTGCAGTACCTACTTTAGTATAATTACCGAGAATTTTCGAAGTACGCATATGAGGTACCCTGCTAAGGCTTTCTCAGTACATGGGTATTCTGAACTCAGTACTTTCTCTAGGGCACCGTGATCATCCATTTTGATTATCATCATCATCATCATCGTTACTGTCATCCTATCGTAAAAAAACAATTTAAGATTAATCAGAAAAATAAATTAAACTAACAGAAATTGTTATTTCATGTTCATGTCTAAAAAAACATTTGTATTTGAATAATCCTAGAAATAAATTCGATTAATTAATACTTACAAAAATGAATTAAAATCATTTTTCACCTAAGATAAAATATGTTAAATGATTAGAGGTGAAAGGGTTATTTTACTTCATTGATGAGTTTTTCGTTGTTCATTTGTACCCTTTTTAATAATTTCGTTTTCAAGTAAAATAATGTTTCTGTTTAACACATTGAATAAATCGTGGAAAGGTTGAAATGATCGAACATTTTCTCTCTCCTAAAATCAGACAAAAAAAAATGACTTATTTAGATTATTTTTAAAACAGGGTGTGGGTTCTGTTAAAGAGAAGATCCATATCCACATCAACGTCTACACCCTCACCCATATACCCCACATCCACCCACACCTTAAATTACGATGAACTATTATGTCTTTAAAATTAAAATAAATTGAAATGGACGAATATAAATCGTCAATCCATTTAATCTATATCTCGATTCGAATATGAAAAGATATCACTCTCTTTCAACACACCGCAAGTCTTACAAATTCTCGTATGAAGAAACGAACATAAAACTTATCCCGAAATAAAATAATATAAGATTGTATATCTGTTGATCGGATACGATAGACGTGATGAAATATGTTGATTGGATCATAATAAACTACACTACTTTTTTTTCATTTACTTATTCATAAAAACTTAATTTATATATTAGATGATGGAGAGTTTAAAGCTTGATGAAACTTTATATATATACCATAAAACTTCTATTAGTGAACGTCGCTCTATTCTGAGTTTGAACACTGTTTTTATCGTCTCAATTGCGACAATAATAATTTCTCTTAGATAATACTAACAATAAATAAATATTCTATTTGTCTTGATTATGTAATTTGTCGAATTACACGTTTAATTAACCTAAAAATTACTTTCTGGTTTAGTCAATCATTACTGAATGTACAAATATTAAAAAAATTCCACTAAATGAGAGAATAAAAGACTAAATGTAAAAATCGAATTTTGAACTATTTTTTTTGATAATCAATATCTAAATTGATTTCTTTGTATTGCTAAATAAATTATTTCTATAGTTCCAAACCAAAACTAACGGAATGAGTATAGTAACACATGTGAATAAAACAATAATTCATTAAGTTGAAAGATTAAAAATACAAAGATACACATAATAATATAAATCTAATTGTTAAATTAAGAATTCTATTGGATAAAATTCTTGTTGTAAGATCAGATAAAATTGAAATAAGATCAAAATGAAAGAAATGATTTTTAACATAAAACAAGTATATTAAGAATATCGAAAAATAATTAAATATTGAAGATTTATTATTCATTACAATAATAACAAGAATTGTTGTATTTAAACGTAGGTAAAGTTAGCCTCATATTCGAGTTTTTTGTGTCCGGATTCGTTTTTAGACTTGGGTTGGCTCTCTACTTGGCTGGGTTATATGCAGAATTAAATTCTGCATCGAATGATGCCATTTTCGGCTGGGGTCATTGAGCAAAAATTCCATTTATACTTCAAATACTGACTTTTTTGGGGACTTTTCCAAAAGCATTTCGCGTCCGAATTCTCTCTCTCACTTGGGTTAGCTCTACAAATGGTTGGGTTGAGTTCAGAATTCAATTCTACGTCGAATGATACTAATTTCGACTAGAGTTGTTGGGCAAAATCAACAGGTGAGCGTGAACGAGGACCAGAAACTTCGACCTAACACTGTTACCGTCATCTACTGGTTTTGCCTGACAACCCTAGTCGAAACTAGTATCATTCGATGCAGAATTGAATTCTGAACTCAACCCAACCATTTGTAGAGCTAACCCAAACGAGAGAGCGAATTCGGATGCGAAATACTTTTGAAAAAGTTCCCAAAAAAAGTCAGTATTTGAAGTAACTTTTTTAGAAAATGACCTGTCAAAACCAAAAGAAAAAAATTTTTGTGACGCTGTAAATCATCCACTATGTTATACAGCTTTTAATGCTCTTTCTTATATGATAGTTAAAAAGAAAGACAACTCATTATATAAAAATGATAAAGAGTTCCGACAAACATTATTAGTTGTCTGTCGTATATGTACAATATGCACTTCACTTCTTTGACATTTCACTTTTAGAAAGTTTTGCTTATCAAAATATAGTTCGTGTTTCGCTCTTTCAATTTGTATGATTTTAGTTCTTTTGAATAACTGTAAAAAAAAATAACTCAATTTAAAAGATCACCCAAAAAAACTTGTCCAACAAAATTTGGCGGCTTCATGTTGTTACATCTTCAGTTCTACTACGACTCAACATTTAGAGATGAAATTTTCTGTGGATATAGTATAAAACATTGACTGTACTTTTGATGCAAACCACATCTCAAAAGTCAAGTTTATAAGAAAATTATACTTAAAATAAAATCGTCTAAAAAATGTTGTCCTGTATTTTATATATATTCATATGTAAAATTTTATTCCATAGTTGTTTTTGTTTTGAAGAGTATTGTAGAACGTGGTATTTTACATACTGGAATGTCATGTCATTTACACCTAATTAGTGCATTATTTGGTTAGGGATTTACACCTGATTATATTGTTTATTATGAACTTATCATGACAACAAAATTATATTTGAAATTAAATGAATTATTTTGTTTTTTATTTATATTTTAAAGGAATATATGCAATGTGTAACATGTATGGATGGTCATTGGTTTGCTGAACTTGGACCAATATTTTTTAGTCTTAAAGATTCACTTAAAACTCGTAGTGAACGTGCACGAAAAGAAACATCAGAAAAGTTAACTATGGAAGAAGAAATACATCTTGCAAAAGAAAAACTAAATCGAATAAAAGAAGAAACTCTTGTTGCAGGTTTAACACTATTCATAAGAAATCGAATTATTACATCATTTAATCGTATACAAACAGCCTCTACACTAAAACGAAATACACCATTTCGTAGTGGAATGTAATCGTTTTTGTCCTTGAATATAAATCTTGATGTATTTGTGTGTATTGTGTTTTGTACAAAGATAAAAATAAACGAGAGATTTCTCTTGTTTTTCGTATAAAGAAAGGTAAAGAACAAGCAACAGCTGACTGTTCTTTTCTTTCGTGTTTGTTTGTATGCCTATAGAAAAAAGACACAATGAAGAAAGATAGTAGATCTCGTCTTGTATTTATTGACTGTATATAATTCGATGTAACACTTTACTGTTCTCATCAATCATTCATACAAGTATGTATATACACACTAAAAAGAAAAAGAAGAAGAAGAAACATTTTTGTTTCATTCTTTATATAACGCAATATTCTAGTCTACGATGATTTAATCAGACAAAAAACCAATGAGTAATTTAGAGTGTTGATTGTTGATATACTCATTTATCTATCCCAAAAAAAAGAATATCAGCACATTCTTCCCATGGCTTTTGGTTACCATGAATAGCAGATTGCTCTGATGCGGCACTTTCTTTTTTTTCTTTCTTGTTTGTTAACCATATTGCCATATAGACGCATATATACACACACTCACATATCTTATCTGTTGTACATCATTTTGAAGAAATGCAAAAGTAAGAATCACTTCGATATCAATAACTATCGATGTAGTTGTTGTCGCCTGTCGCCAACTGTATGCATATATTAGTCATAAAAAAACGATTGTTCTCACATTTATATTACGGAATCGAAAAATCGTTTATCATATCTACGTATATAGGCGAGCACCTAGTAGCTATATAAAAAAAAAAAGAGTGAGGTCGATGAATGTGAAACTTTTTCAATCATCTGTAACTAATATGCATATAAATGGAATACAAATTTTAAGCGTACATCTTCTTTTGCAAGGTAAATTGGCCCATCGTTTTTTTTTTTGAGTGACCTTGTCACTTCTCATTTTCTAATCAATGATATAAATACTCAAGTGTATAAGAATATATTGTCTACGGTAAGTATATTATTGTTTAATAGTTTTTTCTACTTTAGATTATCTTTACATCTATCTATTGAATAGATACAGTTCATGGATAAAATTGGATCTACATCAGCAATTGACCAAAAAATGGTTGAAATGCGCATCAAAAATTTGGAATTACTTAAGCGTCATAAGGTTTGCACTTGAATATACATAAATTGTCTATTTGAAGCGTGTGTAAAAGCAAAAGAACGAAGAAGAGAATTGATGATTGATATTTATCGAGTAAAGGGCCTATTCTTTCTTTTCTATGCTCTATATTCTCGCGAATGTCATTGCAATAAATGAGAAATTTTTTGACAATGTCTTTCTCTTCTGTCGTTTCTTGCTTCTAATAAAGAACATGCGCGCATATAGAACGAAGGATATAGAGTTACAACGATCGTTATGAAAGTACAGTATACATCAGCAACTATTATGATTGCTTGTCTGGAATAATGTTTTTTTCGGCTCCTTCTTTCTATTTCTATAGCATAATTTTTCTCTTTGTATATTATGTATTATCTGTACGATAAATGAGTATAAGCTAGAAAAGAATTCTATTGTGATTTTATGTTAGAACATTTTTTTTTTCTAATAATTTTCTATTGAAGGAAATCGAAGAAGATCGACAACTTGCTGTACGATTAGGTGCATCATCAACAACAACAACAACAACAATCGTTGAAACTATAAAAGAGAAAAAAACTATGAGAGGCGTAAGTTAAAAAGAAGAATTTATCAATATACGTTCATTTATTTGTTTATAGACAACAAAAAATCATGTACGAATACCAACAAATCAACAAAATTCTCAGGTATTAATCATAATTATTTATAAATAAAATAAATTTCTTAATAGGAAAATCAAAATGAACGAAAATATCGACCACCAATACGACGAAAATATGAAAATGTAAAATTATTTTATTATAATTTCAAATAATTTTATTAATCAAATTAAAGGATCGCAATGATACTCAACCTCAACGTGCTCAACGTGTTGATTATAATCGTTTAAAACGTGAACGTGCTCAGGAAATTAATAATCAAAAACTAAATAATAATTTTAACAATTCAGAATTACACAAATATGCACATTCATTCCATTATCAATCAGAAAATAATAATGGTACGATAATATATTCTATTATTTTTCCATTTATTGAAAAACAAAATACGTAAATTACTATGAAATTAATTCTATTTATAGATATCGACGAACCGGCACATGCAAAAAAACTTGTAATTGTTAATAATAAAGGTACATTATACTTATTTTAATGAGATGCTGCTTGTTTTTTTCACTAATTTATTTTATTCTTGATTGCATATTGAATGATCGGATTGAGAATGTTTGTAAATCAGCTGATTAGATGTCCCTGAATACAACAAAATTCTTATATCATATAGAGATATACATATAAAGACAAATGTTAGATATACCTAGATGATTGATGTGTACATTCTTGTCTTTACTATATTTATCGATATATAAGAAGAATAGAGAAAGGGGAAAGAGTGCAATATGCATATACATATTTCATAATTATCAGTCATAGTAGTGAGTGGGACAAAGCAATGAACACTCTGTTATAAATCATCGACTCGATTAGAATCAATAGGACAATATTCGAAAAAGTAAGTTATCTTTAAAAACGAAAAAAAGAAAAACTTCATTTCATGCTTTATTTACTTATATTTAACTTAATTGTTGCATGTTTGTTTGCATATATATATACATTTTTTTTTTCATTTCATTTTTATTAAATCTAAATTTTATATAATTAAGCTGATCGAATTGGTAGTGGTCGATTTAGTCAACAACAACGAACTCAAGAACGTGGACAACATAAACGAGAAGGTTACATTATTATTCTTATTACTACCTTGAATTCATTATATATATATTATTGATTTATTTATAGAACGAATGCGTCGATGTATAGTACAAAATAATGGGCATACAGGAGAAACTAATGAATTCCATCTTGATGTACCACCAATGCCAGTTTGGCAAAATGGTTCAATGTCTGTACAACTTTTACCAACTAATATAAATGGTCATCATACAGGAATGAATCATCTTGTTAATACAAGTGGAGATCAAATGGATCGTAAGAAAATCATTTTGAAAATTATATATAAAAAAAAAAAATATCGATATATTTTATTTTATTATATAGAATCTGCTTATATTCATAATTTTGTTTATCCACCTTCGACTCAAGCATCATCATTCAATGGTAATGCTAGTATTTATTTCGCTCGTCCAACTCCGCCTATAACAACAGGTCCGTCTTCATCCCAAACAACAACTCATTTTAATCAATATCATTCAACTCGTACATTTGAAAATTCTAATCATCATCAACAATTTCATTTACCTTCATTTCAATCATCATCTATTTTTCAATCTTCTCTTCTTCAACCACCAGTATCTGTATCATCAGCATCGAATAATCATCAAGAACAAGAAAATTTACCAACAGATTTTTCATCTAATTTTCGTCGTATAAAACCTCACGATAATGAAAATAAATTATCTCAACAAAGACCAATGTCAGGTGATTTTGAACGTTTACATAATATGCATCATTCATCATCTTCACGTTTTAATAATGATCAACGTTTTCAATCACGGCCGCAATCATTTTATGATTTTTCATCACATCAACAATCAAACAATAATAATAATAACAATTTTTTTCGTTCATCAAACAATAATCGTTATCAACGAAATAATAATAATAATAATAATACGAATAATAATAATACTAGTCTTCCACTCTCTGCTTATATGACCACAGATGATTCATTAAATGAAAATGATAATATAAAACATAACAATAATAATAATAATAATAATAATCATTGGGGAATATCATATCAAAAACGTCGATCAACACAACAACGTGTCTATCATCAAGATAAACATCAGTTTCCATTGTCATTATATGATCCTCGTCAATATGGTTTCAATAATAATAATTATCAACGACGAAATGATTTAAATAATCGATCAAACACAAATCGGCGTAATATAAACAATAATCGTAATAATAACAATGAAATAAATAATTCTAATGGTATTGATCTTATTGAAGAATGGTGGGAAGATAATAACACTGAATTAATAGGAACAGAACAACCAATATTGGATACTGAGACCAAAAGAACAGTTATTGATGATAGTGGAAATAGTTCATTATCTACAAGTATGAATTTAAAAGAATCAACATTAGATGATATATCAACTAATGATTTTGTTAATCCACCATCTAATGTATCAACTACTGATGGTATGTTAAATTTCTAGAAAAAAAAAAGTATCTTTTTTATTTTTTTTATATTCTAAAATATTTTGTTTTTAAGGTAATATTATTGAATCACTTGATAAACTTCAACAACAACTTAAATTAGAAGAAGCTGTTGATGAACGATTAGCATCTACAAATAATAATTTTGTTGAGTCAATTGATAATAAATCAAATAAAGAAGTAAGTATGAATTTGCTATTTTTTTTTCTTATTGTTCTCAAAAAACACAAGCCTAACATAAAATATTAATATTATCTATCAGCCGGCGACATATGATACAGCTCATTTTATGCAATGGGCAAAAGAAAAATTTAGAGAGGAATTAGCAGGTCGACTTACCGCTCAGGTATGATAATAAAAACAAAATGCGCATGACAATACATAATTAGAGCATTTTATTTTTCTTTTTGTTTTTTTTTTGATTACATTCTCTTGTGCATGTTTGCATGGCTTTTCTTTTTTTTGTTTTAAAATAATTTATTAATTTCAAAAACTGATTTTTATTCTTTCTAGGAAATTCAACAACATGATTTTGTAACAACTGACGATTATGACGATAATGATAATAATCATCCATCGACAATAAATAACGAAGAAAAACTAGATGCACTTGAGGATGATCTTAATGAAAAATTAACCATCAATGAAAATCTACCAAAAGTTAATCAATCAATTGTTGTTGAATGAAGTGCAAAAGAACAAAAAACAGGAAAAAAATAGAGATTTGTTATTTTATTCTTTTTAGTTTCTTTTTCTTTTGTATACATACATATATGTAGTGAACTAAATTTTATTGTTTTGTTTTCATTTTCTTTTTTAATCTTTGACATTTTTGTAAGCTTGATGATGATCATTAAAAACAAGTATAGTGATGTCAAACATCGAGTAGTAATTTATTCAATTAATCATTTATTGAAAAGAAGAAAAATAAATCATTTATTATGGAATGATTATTTTATATATGTATGTTGTAGGCAAAACGAAAACTCAGACAAATTTTAAATTTGCCTGGGGAAAATTGGAATTTGATTAGAGATAAATTCATACGATCATAACAATTAAAAACTGTAAACTACCATTTAAATGATTAGTAGAATCAATGAAAGATCAGTAAATTATTTAAATTGTCATTCATGTGATAACTATTGAGAAACTATCATCAGTATACCAGTTACTATAATCTGCGTTATACTACTGTTTTTTTTTGAAAGTATTGTATTAAAACAGGTGAGTGTTTTTAAAATTTGTTAAAACTGACAGTATTAAATCATTTTCAACGCACACGGAGAATGATGATGCGTCTGAGCAACCTATACTGGTCACAGAGCCCAAAGCGACCACAGTTATGAGGTAAATTTTTATTAGCAAAATGTATCGTGAGACTGTATTCTTCTCGGTTAATTTGAATTCTTTTGATGTGGGTAAAAAAAACACTTTGTGCAATCATCTATAGTTGGAATCGAAAATCGTAAGCGCTGCCACCGGTTCTTATGAGTAACGTGGTATACTAGCAATAGTGCAAATAAACATGGCACATTGGCAATTCTATAGCTGTATGTAAATTAGTATCAACATTATTTACGAAGAAATGGAACATGAATAACAAGCAAAGTACCAATCAATACTAGATCTTTTGAATTATTTTGATAATAAATGACTTAAATAAGATAATTGTTGGTATGAAGATATACAATTGTATGCACGAAGTACAAATAATACCTTAGAGACAACCAATAAAACAATCAAGAGTGATGGAACGTTTAGAGAATGTCATGTTTTATCAAGATTTTTGATAACAGCTTCAAATATTGTCAATCATTGATCAATCGAATGAGATTCTTCCGCAATTAACACAACGATATTTGCTACAGAACCAACGATGCCTCTAAAAATTATGCACGTTATCGTATCAATGGACTAAATCAACAAAAGATATAATTTGTATTGCCAATGATTCTTCAAAAACACATTGTATACCGTAGTGAACAAAAGTTTTCCCCTCCTACCAGATCTCAGCTATGATAAGTACTGGAAATTTGGAAATTTTTGTGCACATAATCAATCAAGAATATAGATCAGAGTCACCAGTTTGCCACGATTGCTTGAATACAATCGAAATTTGGATGAATGATAATGAAAATCACTTATTTTTCTTTTGAACTTTATACTTCTGCAAAGGAAAGGTTTAATGGATCAGCTGCTTCCTCATTTTTTATGGCTAGAACGATTGGGTCATTAAAATAACTTTTTTACGAACTTGAGATATTTCCTGAGAATGATTATATTCCAATATCAAAATTGCCCAGTACTAAGGTACTCGATTATATTGAAGTATTTTAAAGAGATGAAGACTCATGACAGCTTAAACCACACTATCATCTGATATCTGACAAAAAAAAAACTCATAAAAATGCAATTCTTTTTTAAAATTCAATGTCTCTTTCATAAAATTTTTATTTTTATTTGCTTCTCTGATAGGGAAATCCTGTCTTGAGCATATTTGTTAAACTTTCTTACAACTCATCGCAAATAATCATAAATAAAAGAAAAAAAGATTCTTCAAATTTTCTATGATTATATAAGTATTAGAAACATGAAAGGAAAGAAATATAAGAAAAAATATGTTATATCATCAGTAGATCAGAATCCAATTTGAACTTTGAAAAAAATAATACATAAACGGGTTAAGCAAATAGATAATAGACACAGACTTTTTCTCACACATATAAAGGAAAAAAGTAGTCGAACGTCTCTAAAAATATCGTATTTTTAATGACTGTTAAAAATTAACTTGCTATTATAATAAAAAAAATCAGAGCAATCTATAAATAATAATTTTCACATCTAGTATATTCATATAAGCATAAGTGATCGGACTAAAAATCCTGCATTTCAACAAATTTCAAGAGACAAATCCGTTTAAATGCATTCAATTGCTTGAAAAAATCGAAAATCACGAGTTATTGTTGAACGTTGTGAAACGCGTTCAAGGAAATGTTTTCTTCATTGATTTTTCAGTGGTATTACGCGTTGTTGCCTTTGAATGCCGTAAAATTTGTAAAATTCCTCATGTAAATCAGTAAAAACGCATAAGTCTAGAAAAATTCTACACGTTATGGATACCTGCATACGGTATCCATTATGCAGTTGAAATACATTAAAAAGTTTGTTAAAATGGTGTTTTAACGCGTTCTTTTAGACGTCCTGTCTGACTGGATTGTGAAGCTTTTTTTATTACATGCTTGTTACAAATTCACTGGTTGAACTTTTTTTTTATTACCTAACCAATCTGTTAAATGCGAACACATTTTTTATTTCTTACGTTTCGTTTTCATAATCATTTAATTGGATATTAATCAAAACATTTTGTGAGTAGAATATTTCTTTTCTCAATTAATATTTATTAGAATTTAAATAAACGTTTCACATGATAATATCGTTCTTCTACAAAAGAATATGTACAAATAGAAACAGAATTTCTTTCTCTATTTTTGCTTAATAGCGGCATGTACAAGATGGCAATAGTCTGGTGCGACAAACGTAAATTTTCATCGTCCGTACCATTATTAAATGAAAAGAATAAAAGAAATTCTGTTTCTATTTATACATTTTATTTTGAAGAAGAACGACATTTTTGCTCGAAACGTTAAGTAAAACTAAAATAAAAATTAATTAGGAAGAGAAAACTCATTAAAAAATTTGTCAACAGTCTTTCTTTATCGAAAACAATTTATATAAAGTTCAAAAGTTATTTGATCTAATAAAATTTTTAAAAATTATAAATTCTATTGAAATTATATATTTTAAAATTTCAAATACTTATTAAAGAATTCAATGTTTATCACAGGATTATAAACAGTTTAGAAGCTTATTATTGTACGTTATTCATCGACAACATGCACTCGTAATTTTTTATTAACACTTTTACACATATAAAATTTGAAAGTCGAATTTAATTGAATAAATCTAAATTCTATTGAAACGATTTTAATAAAAATTGCAAGTTTCAACCATATTATGACGCACAAGAAAAATAATCCTCTCGTCTATATTCTCAGAGTATGAGTGGTAGTGAGGAAGAAAGAAAGGAGCACAGTGAGAATCAGAAGGGTATTCTTCTGATTTGTCATAATTTGATTGAAACTTGAACTTTTCATTGACATTGTTTCAGTTGAAGGTAAACTTGTTCGATTACATCCAAACTTCGAAGTAATACAAGTATGCACTTTTAGAACAGAAGTAATATTTTAATTTTTCACCGATGGTTGCTTTACTACTTTCTAATGTCGTTAACTTCAAGTAGAAATTTGTGTGACGAAAGAAAAAAAACCATTCTCTGACATCCATATACAATCGATTATTGCGTTCGCTGACGCATTCATTATATAGAGGAGAAGTATGCAGCTATGCCAAACATAATTTCTGTGGAGATTTTCTTTTCTGATTTGGTAGAATATACAAAAACCAAGGTAACGCAATGAAAGAACAGTAGAAGAAAAGTAAAAAAATTCAGATTAAGGCTGTGTACACAGAATTAAAACATATCGATTTATTTTTTTCAGAGTCTGTATTCGTTTATTTGAAAGTAGAATTATTATAAAATATTTATTTAATAAAAAGAATTAATATTTCCATTTAATTCATTTCTATGTTAATAAGAGTTGTATTGTGCATATTTTTCTTTACATTATATATTATTATAACGATGATAACCATTGTTTTACATCTAAATAATCAAACAGAATTTTCACATTATCGTTGGAAGAAATTTGATACAAATTTCAAATATATTTCTAATAGTTCGAAGACGACGATGAATATCACTGCAATAACATCTCACAAAAGATCTTCTCAATATATATGGTGCGTTAATCATTATGGTCCTAATAATCAATTAAAAGATTTTGTCAAATGTTGTATAATAGCTATGATAAATAATTATACTTTAATTATACCTCCATTATTTCCACATCATGCACAAAAACATAAAGGTATTCAATTGTTTGATCATTTTTATGATTTAAAACAACTTCGTCACGCTTTAAATTTTATAACATTTGATCAATTTATATCAAAACCTAAGATCAATTCTAATAAAATGATGATAGATTGTTATTTACAACAAATTGAACTTGTAGCAGCAAGAGTATGGTATCCAAGAAATACATTAATATCAATACAAAGATATTACAAAATAAATATTGATTTTCATCATTTAATAAATCTTTCTAGAAATTTTCATATGAGTGAATTATTTAATAAATCCAACGATTGTTCATCTATATTTCTTCACATTCATTATACAACATTTAGACAATTTTTCTTATTTCCAAATATTTATATAAAACGAATTTTTGAACATTTATATCGTACTCCATTGATTCAACGTATGACATCTCAATTAATTAAACAATTACCACAATTAGTCATTGGAAAAAATCATTCTCAAACTAATCTTAACACTTTAGCTGTTATTCATATGAGAATAGGTGATCATATCGTCATGAATATATCGATGTATATTAAACAAATTTTATATTTACTTAATAATGGTGTTCATTTTACACATCTACATATTATGTGTCCATTACTAAACTCTGCTGATATTAAACAATTGACTGATAATCTTCCAATAGTATTTACTACTTCACAACACTTATTACCTCATGTAAATTTTGTCTTAGATAGTTACTTATTTGATGTTTTAGAACAAGAAATAGCTTATCAAGCTCCAATTTTTATTGCATCACCATGGACAACTTATTCAGCAACAGTCTTAATGCAAAAAGTATATCAAGAGCAAGGAACTGTATATGTACTTTCTACTAAAAAAAATAATCATCCATTACTTGTTACGAAACAAAATGTGAAATATTTCGAACAATAGGATTGTTTATAAGACCTTTATCCTCAATAGGGATTTTAGATGAGTCACTAATAAAATGATCCATCAAATGCATTTTATTTTATGCGGGAATACTTTGACCAAACCAATGATTATAGAAAGAAAACAAGAGAATAGAACAATTTATTAAGTCGTAGTTTTCTTCACTACAATGATAGTTTTGAGTAGACAAGATCAGTATGTGCATTTATTTTTGATTTGACTCGAATTTCATTAAAGAAAAGGAAAAGATATAGATATATATTTTTAACCGCACATGTATTTTTACGCATAATTCGTTTTTAAATATAACTTTTTAGTCACTAAGTAATAATATAATCCATGAATGCTTTTTTATAGATGATCAATATTTGTGTTCGATTTCAAACGTGATAAGGTTTACAAAAAAATCTACATGATGTTTGTCATTTTTCTTTTTATTTGCCGATTGTTGCTGTCGGTTTCATTCAAAGGTTTAGCATATCATATCGGCCAAGCTATTGGCAAAATTGTGATGTGCATTTGATTCACAAGTCAACGTTTTCGTCAATACATATCATAAAGCACGTCTTTGAGATAGATTTTGTCTACAAAATAGAAAATACTTTTAAGAATAGTTTTATTCTTTTGAGACTTATTGATTTTGTACATCATGTTTTTCATAGACAAGTCTAGGAAACAAAATAAGATTTTTTTTTTTAGCAAATGATAGTTTATAAAGTTCTCTATAATTAATATAAAGTGAGTTGTAGATCACATGGTTTGAATTTTTTTTGTCAACGATATTTCTGCTCATGTCAACGCCAATGAACATTCGACAGGGAAGAATCAAAATTAAATTTTTATTTTTTATACAAATTTTGAATAGATAAATAATACTTTCTTCCAAACTCGAGTGTTTAATTTAAAAGAGTTGCTTTCACGAAATCGCTGCAAAAACTTCTCAGAATGATACAATATAATTAGATTGAGAATTTAAATTTCGATTAATTTACTCGATAGTAGATGTAAAGAAATCTTTATAGATAAATCATTAGAGAAAAACAGGACATGAAAGATAGGAAAATCTTAATAATGATAATATGATTTGCTACCAATGAGACACCAGATAAATATATCTTATTATATTTTTTCATAATAGATAATGATGAAATTTTTGTGAGAAAAAGTCGAAAAGTTTTCTGGCATTATTGTGAATCTCATTTAAAGAGATATTTTTGACAAGAAGAAAGTTCATCTCGAATAAATGAATATTATTCTGAAATCATCATTATTAAAATATTTTATCTATGATTTACTCATCTTCAAAAAGATTCGAGAACATATTCAGCATATTTTACAAATATTTAGATTGTACTAAAAGTAGTAGCAGAAGTATTTAAATTCTTTAGAAAAATCTGAAAGAAATTTTCTTTCAATATGGTCTGATAATAAAAGCAATGTTTGACATTTCTGTGAGATTTGATCATTCTTCACCTAATATTATAATCATCAAATTTCGGTAAGAACTGCTTGTTTTGATATATGATCATAATATTAAATTACATTTTGCTTTCGTTGTACATACTCTTTTCGATATTCTCTTTGGTTTGTTTTTCTCATGTCTTCTCTAATGAGTAGCCATCTCTACATATTAGGGTATACAACAGGTAATGGCAGTAGAACAAAAAAAACGAACTACAGAAACGAGTTCATCAAGTCTTTATTTCATTAAATGTTCACACTCAATTGCATTCATTGAATCTATTTATCGAATGTTTTTTTTTTATACTCTTCTTTATTTAAAGAATGGTATAATGATTTGGAATCATTTTTATCGCTTAGATACTGTTTAATTAAGTCGAATATCCAAAAAATCACGTAGAGCCAGATCTAGAGAATTACTTTAGTAAAAATTTGATGAACTTGTTTTTGTATTTTTACTTTTATTCTACTGGCATTACTTTTTGTATAGCTTAATATCAGATATGGGATCAGTTCAGATTTTTCAAAATTTAAACCCAACGGATACCGCCGTTGATTTAGGATACTGCGAATCGAATTGAATCAATTTCTGCTTAATATATATAGATGGCTACGCATTAGAGAACAAGAAGAACAAAGAGAATACACAACACAAACGAAATTTGTTGTAATGCTATCGTTTTATATCATAACAAACAGGTCTTATTGGAGTTTTACGATTATGAACTTAGTTAAAGAATGATCAAATATCACAGAAATGTAAAGTATTATTTTTACTATCAGATCATATAGAGAGAAAGTTTCTTTAATTCTATATGACAAGAAAAACTGTCTTTTGGTTTTAAAATAAATTTGTCCTTAAAATTAAGAATCAAAAAAATTATTCGTATTGTTTATTCCAATCCTGTTTTAGCATCATATATGATTCTTTCAACTCATAATACTTGAAAATATTGTTGCTTTTCTTTATACCTTGAGTATCAGATATATATGTAATTTGCACATGATTTATTTTATGTTTTGCTATCATTTGATCTCGTGTAACATCAAATAATTGTGTGTGCATAATTGACCATTGTAGTGTTGTTGCATTAAGTTAACTTTGTTTAGAGTTTTTCTTTATTAATTTCAATAACACATGCACAATCAATATCAACTTTTAATCGATTATCTTCTAGATATACATGATTGCAAACGATTTCTCTTGATTTCATTAGAATCTTCTCTATTACGTACATAGATTAATATTGTTTTAGATGACGTTTCGAAACACGATTGAATTATTAATAAATGAATACTATTATATTCAGCAACTTCATTAAAATGATATATAATTGTGTCTCCAAAACTACTATATGTATTTGGCACGACATTTAACTGATCGTCGATCAATGTTATTAACTGTACTTTTAGCAAGATTTGCTGTTGGAACCAAGGACAGGTGTTCCTGTGACATTTACTTTCCTATGACTCTTTGTGAGAAGTACGAGTGATCAAAAACCAATTAGAGATTAAATATATAGATATCATTCTCATCTTCACACTATTCTTCGCCCTCATTCTTACCGTCAACCTTCTCAATATTACGAGTGAAAATGTCACGAGAATAATTGTTGTGTTACCCTGATGTTGATACTAACTCGTTAAGATCATGTTAATATTTAATACCCATTAAATTCTAACCAAAATCATCTGATAAACGTACAAAACGAATGTAGATTTTTCATTGTCAAAAAAATTTATTATTCACTGAAATCAATGAAATCATTTTGCTCTTTAGTACTTATAAATGTTATTCCATTACATTTTAGTCATGCATATATAACACAAACTTCTTCATTATTTGTTTTCTACACTTATGTGTTAAGTGACTAAGATGTTATTTAAATATACGTAATTAATATAAAAATTCATTTGATAAAACATTATAATCTATTTCTATATAGTTTCAGAGGATAAAAAACATGTCATAAATTCGTTACAATCAAAATTTCATACTTCACATCAAATATAATCATCATTTCTTTATGTTTTGATAAACTTTTCATAATTTTCTTTCAAATTTATTCTATATCTTCTGATATCTTTTTACATTATATTAATAGTTATATATGAGATAGATGATGTTTAGTTTTCCCATTTTCAAATGACTCTTATAGTGTATTTATAAAATTTCAACAGATTATAATGAACTACATTGAATATCAGTTTGTATTAATAATTCGTTTAAATGAAACATAGCAACAAGATTAGATCATTTATTTAGTTCAATTGATTATAGTTGATATTGTTTTTTTTTTATATATTTTTATATCAACTAATCTTCGATAAAAATATTCCCAAATAACTTTCGCGATAGTAAATGAATCATTATTCAATGATAGATTTGTAAATATTTGCATACCGATTCATTGATCATCAAGAAATGGATTTTTAGTTTTTCTTGAATCAAATTTATGTCAACGTTTTCTGATCAAATAATGAAAGTGCTTTGCTAAGAGCTTGTTCAACTTGATTTTGTGTTTTCCATGATGTTTGATTAACTATAAGATAAGAAATCATCATTTGTAACTAAATAAATTGACATATTTAAATTGAAAAATCACTGATTAAAAGCTTATTTCGACATGAAAATTATAAAAATAGTCCTTATTTTTCACATTTTTTACAATCACATATGACTGTGCTTGCTTTTTACATAGAGGTAAAAAGTGGAGAACGAGCGGAAAAAAAAAAACAATCAAGTTAATCAAGAAGAAAGTATACATTTCTAAAGATAAACAGATTGATGTAATTGATAACATAAATTTTTGTTACAACATTTCAACATATCAAGAAGCTTATCTAAAATGTGTAAATATATATGTTTGATATCAGATACCATCGTATTGAAATCTCTTTCTTCTTCCTAGAATCATAAAATTATTGCAATCTATACAGGAGATAAGATTTTAATAGTTTACTTTTAAGTAACAAATAATAAACATGTTCATTACACAAAGTAATTCTATCAGTCAAATTTAATAATTATAGACAATAAATTATTCATAATTAGTATAATATATATTATAATTATATTCATTTTTCGAGCGTCATCTGTTTGAAAAGGGAATAAATGAACGAATATCTTTCAAGATGTCTCTCTTTGTCACACAAAAATATCCAATCATTTTAGTTAAACAATTAATTGTATTTTATTTGTTTTGACTCGAGAATTATTATCTAAAGAAAATTTAAATTTTATTCAAATGATTTGAAATACATCTAATGGCATCGGATGATACTTATAATATTAGACCTATTTCATCTCATCAATGTATGTTTAAAAATTTTAAATTTTAATTATTTAAAGGAAAAAAAAAAATTATATTTAGCTCATTCATCTACAAGTTCATTTCCTCAAAATTCAATATCATTATCATCACCAAATAGTCCTATTAATACAGGAAATCTCAATAGTAGCTTATCTCATAGTCGTCAATTATGGAATATGGCTTTTGAAAATGTTCTCGAGCATAAAGAAACTCTTCCATCATCATCATCAATAATTTCATCAACTGTTGGTAATGATTCAATTGGTTGGTACAATTTAACTAAGCGGTAAATTCTTTTATATCATTTTTCATCACATTATTTCATGCATCATTGTTTATCATAATACGCTCAATTTGTCTTTTTTTTTTCTATATTATAACAGTAAAAGTTACCTTCAAATTAAAAGTTTGCATTTGATTGAAGGTCGTTTTCTTTTAAAACTATCATAAAATTTCAAGTCAATAATTAATATATGATTCGAACGATTCTTTAAAGACATGATAACGATATTACATATACATATATATATATATATGTATACGCTTGAGGTCCAAAGGGAAATCCTTCTGCGTAATGATTATAATCTATTAGAAAGAATAAACGAACAAAAAGAAAAAAAGCCGATATGGTGTTGTTGATAGTCGACGGCAAACAAGGCCAAGAAAAAAAAAGAAGAGAAAAAAAAATCGCATCTAAGTAACGAGTTTGCTTGCATATTTACACGCATGGAGTGCAGAATAGAATAAGAATAAGATTTTGTTTTTTTTTTTTTCGCTCACATTTATAAACGTACATACAAGGTAGTTAAAAATAGTTCATTTTATTGCTTTCATATATTTGATTAATATAATGATATGTCATCATCATTGTCATCTTCAACTGATTATCATTTACTGACTTCTGATTTTGATGAAAATCAAATTATGGCACAATATTATGAAAAGCCAAAAAAAAAAGATTATTCATATTTTTCATCATCTGCTCCTGCAATTATTAATAGTAGTGATCTCATAAGCGAATCAAAAAGGTAAAAATTCTATCTATTATTTATACGTGATATTTAGTAAATGATAGTAATAAAAGGTTTCTTTGTCTTTTTTTTTTCTTTTGAAACTTCTGTTTGATTATAGAAGTTAACTGCATATTAAGATTTTGTATGTATTAATGTTGTTGTAATGTAAGAGTAATCAAGGAAAAATAACAGTCGCATCAAACTAGTACTATCATTATAGTTGACAGAGCTTCTCTGCTAGGGTCATGAGTGCTTAGTTGTCCTTATCCAATCTATACTATTATTTATTTTATCAAAATGTAAAAACAACGAGCATCAAGGATGATAAACATTGTTTGATATATATAATTTTAATAAGAATTCTTCCATTATTTTTGGCATTGAACGAGGAAAAATAATATGCAGATTATAATGTTGAATTTTTGCTCGTATACACTGATGTGTCGCCTTTAAAGAAATGAGGAACGAGAAACTCGACTTAAGGTTTTTTTTTCTCATTTCCTAGAAGTAAAAAAAAAAAGTTATTTAGCTTTACTAGAAAATAGATGATAAAAAAAAAGAAAGTTCTAATTTATTTTATCATAGAAAAACATCTGTTATATTCTTTGTAGTTGGAAGCTACTAAATATCAGAGAAGAAAAAATTCTTTCTATAATGTTTCTTCGTCAGTTTACTTATTCAAAAAGAAATAGATATTCTACGTGATGTTTTTCCTATTCAAAGCAATCGTTTACTATTATGGAAATTTCAAAAGAGACTTATTTTTTGTTTTGTTTACTATGATGCATAACAGAGTATTTTCTTTACGATGAGTTTCTTTTTTTCGATCAATTTCTATATATACGTAACTATTCTGATCGATTTAATATCTTTATTTTTCTTAAACACGAACGTTTACTTACAGAAGAACATAAAGAAAATAAATATCATAGGAATATGTAATCGATGTATGTCATCAAATGATAGAAGTATATTATAACTCTCGAAGGTCTTTCTTCATATAAAAAATATTTTTTCTTCTCTTTCTTGGTATCATTAATTGCCTATCTACATTTTCTTTCTATCGTTATTAACTAACTATACTTAATTTTTCGATGTAACTTTTTTGTGACTAACACTTTATACAGAGGTAAACGTGTGTATTCAAGCAAAGCAAAATGGCTGAAAACGATACTCATGAACAACAACAACAACAACAACAACGAGAAACTAGTGTAACATCAATAAGCAGACCTCAACGACGACATTTTTCACAGACACCAATACCTTCAAATGATATAATTCTTAAAGAATTATCTGGAAATTATATACCAATAGATGCTATAAGAAAGAGACGAACTTTATCTGAACAAGTCAATCGATATGATCGGTAGATACATAAAAAATGATTACGATTGAACATATTAATTAATTAACTATTCTTTTTTTTTTTTTGAAACAATTGAGTCTTTTTCAAAATATTTGTGAATATTTTTTTTTCTTTATTTTAGTGTCATGCAAGTTAATGCTAGTCCAACATTAGCAGCTGCTGCTAGTCCAGTATTTCATAAAGATCATTGGCAACAAAGACGTTATAATTTTTTAAGTAAAAATAGTATGTTTGGTGGAGAATTAAAAGACGAAGTTGTTAATGAACATGGTACTGATGTTGAACAAAAGTAAAATGAAAAAAAGAAACGAATTTTAATTAAATAATTCTTAAAATTTTATCTATTTTGAAGACCTATTATTGATATATCTCAAATGCCAACAACAGCTAGTATGGAATCCGATGGATCAACTATAAGACGTGACACAATTTTGAGTCGAGCTGTAACTGGTGTTCGTAATTTACTTGTTGTAAGTTTTTAAAAACTAAGATTTATTTAATCTCTTTTTGATAATTAATCATTATTTAAAGGTAAACGAGATGCCACGCGCAAAATCCCTGCGAGCATCTACATTATATGATGAGGTTAATAATAATATCGTTGCGTGTGTGTGTGTGTGTTTCTGCTTTTTTTTTTATAAATTAACAATGGATTTTTTTTCTTCTTGCTTTTATTGAAGTTTTTAAAAAAAATAAAAATTTATTCATTTTACTTATAGGAAGATGATGAAGACGAACAATCGAATGGAACTGATCTATGTTTAAAAAATATTATATTAACAAAACCAGATACAAATGAACGGAATGATTTCGATGAAAATGATAGTGGTAATCTACGTCCTTGGTAAAGAAAAGATAGATGAGAAGAAACCAAAAAAAAAAAAAAACGTTAAATTTTTTTTTTAATATTTAGTACTCAATGTACACAAACTGATAATGATTTTCCTCAAACTTCAAGAAAGAACGTAACATCACGTAGTAATAATTTTTTTTTCCATAAATTGAATAAAAAACTTTTTCTTTCTTTTTTTTATAGCTGTCAATAAAAGTCGACCATTGAAAAAAATCATTTCTCATTTGTCTTGTAAACATCATCAATCAAAAAAATTAGTTGAAATTCAACATTCATATCGTCCTTATTTTACATATTGGGTAACATTTGTACAAATTCTTGTTTGTATTGTTTCATTAATTGTATATGGTTATGCTCCATTAACATCAATACAATCTGTAAATATTTATTTGTTTTATATTTTGTGTTGTTTTTTAGAAGAACGAATAAAACAAAAAGAAAAATATAATTTTTTTTTCGTTTTTCTCTTAGAATAATACTTCAATTTTTAGTCAACAACGATATGATTTAACAATGAATATATGGTTTGGTCCACATCCAGCTGATTTAATTCGTTTAGGTGCTAAATATACTCCATGTATACGTCGACATGATGAAGTTAATAATCGATATGAAAAACAAGCAAGATTAGAAACAATGTCTGGTTGTTGTATAGATTCAACAACAGGTCGTTGTATGCAAACACTTCCACAACAATGTCTTGTATGCATAATTTTATTTATAAAAGATAGAAAAAAAAAAATGATTTATTTTTTCTTTAGCCACGCGCTGGTTTAACATGGTATCGAACACCATTAAAAAGTGAAAATTTAACAGAAGAAAATAATGTTATCTATCCAGCTGTATGTGGTCTTACACCAGAGTAATTAAAATACATAAGATTTCTTATTTAATTAATATTAATTTCTTTAGAACTTGTACAAAAAAATTAATTGGAAATGTTCGACGAGAAGATGAAAGTTCATGGACATGGACAATTGTTGATTCTAAAATTTTTAAATGGTCAGCAAATATTATTAAATGGCCAGTATGTTCTATATGAATTTAGAATAGTTGCTTTCCGAATATTTACTCTCGTGACAATAGTCATTCATCAAAGTTCCGAATAATCAAAAATTGATTTACATGCATATTCAAATGAGATGTATACATAATCTTAACATTCATATGCCCGTTTCTATTCTTCTCAACATCACGAGAGCAATATTTATTTTAGCATTCTAATTCTAGCAAAATCTCTACGGAAGTAAATACAAAAACTATGATCGAGTTATTAACTTAGTTATTTAATTTCGAGGTATTACATAGATTTGTGAGTAACAATTAAGGAGAATTTCGGCAAAGAGATGATACCTATATTATATTTATAAAAAAAAAACATTGCTTTTATTACCATTTGTATGAAATTATTTTAAAACAAAAAATTTTCAAAAAAATAAATCATGGGTTTATAGATGTTATTGTAAACAAGTTTTATTTTTATTAATCACAAAATTAGAAGAAAAAAAGTTGATAGCACATCAGAGTGTATCTCCGATAATTGATCGTATCGTATATTGTGAATACTTCAAAAAAATTTTAAATCATTCTATGATAAATTTTCATCAACTATTCTTCAATATATGCAAGCTTATGATATTCGATTTTCGAAAAAATTAGAAATACATTAGGAAAAAAGTTTTTATTCGAAACAAAAGAAGCAATTGAGTGATTGTTATCTTAAAAAATATTTCAAAATTTTCTTGACATAAGCAATTTTGTCTTTTACATATTAATCCTATGATCGATAATTTAATATAAAGGATAGGTCAAAAAATCCTAACTCATTTCGCTTAATAAATGTTGATGTAGAATAATCTTTATAGGGAAAAAGTAATGTCTATCCATATATATAAATCAAAACCATTTAGGAATTATTTTATAATAAATTGGATATTTAATCTGTTAATTAGATATAACCATTGTCGTACATTAATTCTATTTTTGAAAGGGAAGAATTCTATTTGGATAATAAATCTTACAATTGAAAAATAACTTTTCTTTGACTTCAATTCTTTTTAAATGTATTAAATTTTTGATTAATTTCATAAACTGTTTCATTCTAAGAGTTTCTAGTGTACGGCAAGTCTTCCATTAATTTTTTATTTTTAATATTCGACTTATTTTCCTTCTTAATGATTTTCAACACAAAAGAGAAGAATGTTAGTTATTTCCTAAGTATGATTCTTTCCTTTCAAACACAGAATTAATACACGACAACAGTTATACCTAGTTAACGTATTAAATATTATATTCATTATAGAACAACTCAAAAGTGATTTCAAAATGTGAATTGATTGTTTTATTTATAGTTCGTTTGCTATTCACATTTTTAATGATTAAAATATTACTGATTAATTTACCTTTAGATATAATAGACATTTCTATGCTAATAACTTTCTTATTATATAAGAAGATTTATTAGTATGAAAATATCTAATAAACAAAACAAGTCAGAACCTATGGTCTATCTTTTTAAATAATATGAATTATTTTTACTTCGGTTAAATTCAGATGTTTGTTATATTAAATGTGATATATATTGTTTTCGTTGAAAGAAAACCAATAACTAACATATAGATATTATCACTTACATTGACAGTGATAAATCTCATAGTGATTAGTTTCAGCTGATTTTACACATTCTTGGTGTCTTCTGGTTCGTATATGATGATTAATATGATTAATGTCATTGTTTGGAATAGAGAACTGTATATTATAAACAATATACAAAGCTTTTGTTGACTGATTTTTGCAACCTTATAAAAATATGGAAAAAATACGATTTGATAATCTGCTTGTTTGGAATATTCATGTATATCGTTTATTGATTGTTCATCATAGTTAAGAAGTTTTTCATGAGGCAGAAATAAAATCATATACAAATATGTTTCAGATTGTAATATAAAATTATTGTCTAATGAATTAGAAGTATTATTAGTATTATCCTCTTGCAACAAAAGCATTGAACACCCACAACACGTAATGTTTTACTATCTTATATTAAGTGAATGCTTTATATAAAATTTGTTTTTGTAATTTATAATTTTAGTTTGAGAAAAACAAAGTAAAACTGCGATAATTTTTTTTTCTTGTAACTTTCTTACTGGTTCTGAATGTGAATAACAGCCTCAATAGAGAAAAATCTAAAAATCATCTTGTGAAATCATGATATCTTCTATGAGGAGAAAATTTCAAAAACTAAGAGATTTTGTAAGCTTGCATAAATAATTTATTGTTGGTCCTAGCACGATATTGCACTAGCAAACACTGAGTATGTTAAGATCTTCTAAGAAAACTTGCCTTTGGTTTCGTAATCATTAATTTTACGAAAACAATGATATTTCGGATCAGTTTATCGAGTTATATCGAATGATATATGAGTTAAAATCTCTTGTAAAATACTTTCCATCATATCATTTCCATAGATAGGCAAGGTTACATAAGTAGTTGAGTATGGTAAAAGAAATTCTATTTTTCATGGAGAAAATTTATTTAACGAGATTATTTGATGCAACATTTCTGGTAGGGATACTGAAAATTTTGAATAAAACACTTACAGAAATGTATGATAAGCATAAAAGCGACAGTTATGTTTATCATCATGTTCTCAGAAAATTGTCTGTTGTATTTCTTTCAGTCATTTAAGACAACTACATGGCCTGTTTATAATAAGCTCCTTCCCCCAATGGAAAGTTTCTCTTGGAAAAGTGGTGCGTTCGACATAATAGAAGACTTGCTTTAATTCATTGATTTTTCGCAAAGTTGAAATTTTAATTAGTATTTTTACATCAGAATATGTCTAGCAGTAAGGATTTTGAGTTTAAAATCTAAAAAAATTTTTTCGAAAAATTCTTTTAATTAAAAATTATGTAAATAAATGTAACACAATAAAAAATTCAAGGTCTTCTATTGAGTGAAAGAGTTTAAGTATTTTTATAAATTAATTAAACTTCAATGAGTTTTCTAGAACTCTAAATTTGTTTTTTTTTTCTTTCATTTCGAGCATTAGTTTTAATTGTTCGTTGATAATATGTTCTATTTTTAGATTTGTCTTGAACAAGATTATAATCGAATATCAAATAATATATCTTTATATCCACATATGCAATGTACAAATATAGGTATATTTTTAAAAAAATTTTCATATTGAAATAATTATTAGTATTTTTGTGAAACACGATCTAAAAGAAGTATTGAAGTATAGGGATACAAATTTGGATCCACTCCTGTCTATCTCATAGACCATGACAGACATAACCATCCGAATGTCACATACTGTGGCAGACAACCATGAAAACATTTCATACACCGTGACAGACGTTGTTGATATACGATCATAGTTTGATGTCTCGTTATAATATATGAACTATTTTCTGATTGCATTTCTGAAGGATACAGTAAAGAAAATGGTGAATATATGTATCTCAAAATAAATAGAATAAAACATAGTCCTAGTGATTAGAAACAACAGCTGCATCGTGTTTCACAATTTGTTCCCTCAAGGAGTGTATTAATAGTCATTTTTTTTTTCTAGCGAGACCTTGTTGTACAGGTGTACTTGGAGATTGTGTGTTAACATCAAGAGATGATTGTAGACGTCGACGTGGTATTTTTCATCAACGAGCTCATTTATGTTCTCAAGTAAGATGATCATTTTATTGATTAGAAAAACAAAATAAATTAATGTCTATTTTAGGTTGATTGTATACAAAGTGTATGTGGTATGCTAGAATTTTTTGTTGGTAATGAATAAAAAATTAGATTTATTATTCTTTATCTTATTTGTATATATTTTCTTTTAGTTCGTGTACCTGATCAAGTTTATCGTTTTTGGACTGTTATTTTTATTCATGCTGGGTAAAAAAGAAAAAAAAATTTTCTTCTGTAATTAATCTGAAAAATAAATCTATTTCTTTAGTTTAATTCATTTGTTAATAACAATTATATTTCAATATACAATAATGCGTCCATTAGAAAAACTAGCCGGTTGTATACGTGTAATGATCATATATATTGTATCTGGTTTTGTTGGAAGTTTAGCTAGTGGATTATTTTTACGTGATTCAATACAAGTTGGACCTGGTGGTGGTCAATTAGCTATACTTGCTTGTTATTTAAGTGAATTATTTCTTGGTTGGCGTTCATTAAAACGTCCATGGATACCATTTTTTAAAATTATTATATGTTTATTTATTTTATTAACTGTTGGTTTATTACCATTAGTTGATAATTATTCACAATGTTTTGGTTTTCTTATTGGTTTTATGTTAAATATGATTGTTTTTCCTGACGTTAATTTTCGAAAAAATGTTCATCGTCTTGTTATTGTTACAACATCATTAGCAATTGTTATTGCTTTATTTATTTCATTAATTGTACTTTTTTATACAGTACCATTTAAATGTAAATCATGTACATTATTTAGTTGTCCATTTGGAAAAATATGTGGCAATGAAAAACCTGATCTGATCTAAAGAAAAACATTATCGAAATTTGTCAGATACAAAAGAATCGATTGAATTTGATTTTGGTTTTTTTTTGTCTAACTTTATTTCTATCACTGATTGATTTGTGTTTTCTTTCCCTTTTTTTTTTCAATCGATATAATAAAATAGTTAATTGTGTATCTCTTTCTCTGGCATAGCCTATTAATTTTTATCAGCAATAAAATATAGAGATATTATCAATGATAAATGTACAACATATTAGGAAATTGTGATAAGAATAACAAAAACAACCACGTAATTCGATTAACAACGGATAAAGATGAAGCAAAAGAAGAAAGAATTCTGATATTATTAGTTTGTATAAATTGTTCGATAGCCTTGGCAATACGTTTTGCTTCTTGTTCAATTGAATGTTTCCTTAACCGTTCGATTGGATAAGAAAACAGAATTGCATTAAATCGTTGATCAGCATGCATTCGTGTTGAATAAGTTGATAAACGATATCGGATTTGTCTTTGTTGTTGTAATTGTTCCATGGGAATAATATAGTCAAAGCCATTAAGACGTAAAAAATAACTCAATGAATTATTTCCCGTAATAACACTAGGTCCCGAACGTGATATAAGTTCGTACATGGTTGATTCCGATGGTTTACTCATAGTAGATGATTGTAATGGATCAAAACCATAACCAAGTTGTACTGTTTGAGAATTTCGATGAAAAACAAATTCTATAAATAGACCACGTGAAGGTAAACGTATAGCTTCTTTAGCCATAGCTATTAATCGATGATAATCCATATATGCACGAATAGCACTTTCGAGTAAAAATGTACCTCGAAGTAAATCTTCAGCTGGATCAACATATTGACGAGTTAATTTATTTAATATTGTATATGGATGATAATGTGATACAAATGATTGAGCTATAGCTTTAGTTAATAAATACATAGATAATGTTGAACTACGATCAATAACACATCTTGCATCAGGATGATAGGTAAGTATTTGATTATGCGATTGTAAACAATCTTTTAATGTGTATACACATTGTTTTAAAGTATCATTATAACAACCAGCTACAGGTAATTGCCATAGTATGGTTGTTAATGTTTCATTATTCAATGATTTTCCTAGTTTTTTTAATGTTAAATTAGCACCAAGAAAACCACCATGTGGTGATGAAAATATCAGATTTGTTGAACTACCACCACGATTGAATTCAATCGATGATAAATAACTTTGATCATCAGAATATTGACCAAAATTCGATCTTATATTAATAATAATAATAAATATGAATAATCTTGTATCAAAATGCATTTAAATAAAACTAAAAATTAACTACTTTATGGTTGTCATCATATATCTACAAAGTTTATAAAATATCTTATGATGATTTATAATAAAAATGTTTCTGATTTCTTGCTTTTTTTTTGTTTCTGTTTGTATAATAACGATAGAATAACACATGGACTAAAAAAAAATGATAGAAAAGATTTTCCTGGAAAGAGAGAGAGAAAGAAAAAGAGTTTTCGTCGTAACATAGTGATGAGGATGATAGAATACACTAGAGGAACAACAAACGTCTCCGTATTTTTTTTTTTCTTTTGTGGACTATACACTTTCGTTGGCACGTAATGAACGAGAAAGAAAAAAAAAAAAAGGGAAGAAAGGAAAAAAAATCGGTTGCTAAACATGCCGTTCGTTGTCGAGTTCTACTATCTATCAATGTTCTACGCCAAGGCTAACAGACATAAGAATAATTTTCTTAGCAGACATTGTCCTTGTAAATAAGTCTATGGAAGAGGAAAAAAAACTCATCTACTCGTCAAAAATATTCGACAAAATAAAATATTTTCTAAATCTAAATCTTCTTATTTTTGTATGGAATAAATATATTGATTATTGATATCGAATTTTTCTGTTTTTAGTTATTTGAATTTTAACTAGATTTTCTTTCTAGAAAATTGAAGATAGGTCAACGCATAGAAGATGTTGTTCTTTTTTTCTATATACATCTATAGTATCATACAAGGATTATACACAATGTTTGATTTGCTTGTTGTTATAAAATGACAAACACAGCAATTGATCGACAAGATACGAGATATTTCACCGACCTTGAAGGTCAATGATATTAATAGTATGTAACAGCAAAATGATTGACAATGAGATACTTATATAAATTTCCTTCTATATATTATTATAGGAAAAAATTGATTTTATCGAAATTAATTATCATATGACATTTTAATTTGAATATAATTAAGTCATTATTAATAACTGGTTTAATTTTATTAGAATTGTATATATATATATAATCATTTATTTGTAATGATGAACTATTCTTGTTTCTCATTTCAATGACATCATCAAAATGAAATACTAGTTTAGTCATCATATATACATATCTTATCTTTATATATGTACAGTTTTTGTCTGTCTATATAATCTTTCTATAGAATAATAAATGATATTGAAGAGAATGTCAAGCATGAGCACCAAGTGGAGTCATTATATTTCAATAAATGAAACATTACAAAATGAAATTTACACTTTCATTTGACCGAAGAGAAAAAAAAAGGTGTATATAGCGATAACGAATTGAGTGAACTGTCATCAATAATCGATTAATCGAATAAAAGGTGTATAAAGTATAGTTACTTTTTTGAAAAGAATGTTACTCGTGATATATTATCATTTAATTCTGTAATGTATACGATAAACAATCACCATTAAAATCTACATGTTGGCATCATTATTGACATCATAAATCTTGAATTTGATCAATTTTTTTCTGTTCCCAAGCAGATTTTAAGAAGTATACAATGCGTGCGATGAACGTTCGAAAATTTGAAATATATATTTTTTGTTCATTCTGTTCTGATTTCGAGTCCTTCGACAGTCACTGGATTCCGACCACTAGAAAATTTGTATCCTATAAGACATTCATTTTCAACTGTTCAAGCACTTTTAGATTCCTCGATACTCATCGAAGTTTCAAGTACTCGAGAAAAGAAACATATTGGAAGGATAATATTAAGTGCTTCAATAGAAGTAACTCTAGCAGAATAACAGTTTCAAGTGGTGAGGTTAATTTTGGTTTTGTGATACGTTAAAAAGTGATTTACAAATGTTTCTTTCATTCAGCTCTCTAAATAGGGTGATTTATGTTCGACATATACTTTCCTTAATTCTATAACTTTCTAGACAATATTTAACATTAACTGATGAAAAATACTAAGTTAGATCGGAATACATAAGTGTTTATGATGAAAGACACAGTCATGATGAATTTTTGCGTTTTTAATGTTTGAAACATTTTCTTAATATTAATTTTATACTTTCTCATACAAATCAATTCTTTATCAAATAAACTCATTATATGGCATCTGAGACTCCAAGAAAAATCTACTCTGCAGTTAGAAATACACAAAAAAAGATGATTTATTCGGTTAAAAAGCTTTTTTTAATTTTCTAAAATTGTTAGCAAATATTAAAACGACAACTTTGAAAGTACTATCCTTCTAAGAATCTCGGTAAAAATCGTTCGGCTGGTTAGTAAAACTCAGCGTTTTACTCACCTATTGCCGAGCTTTCGATCTACTGGAAATTGAGAATCCAAGGGGTACCTTTGAAATTTCAATGCTCACGGCAACCTTAAATCGACACGTCGAAATGCCTATCGGATGGCCATTTGGGTTTCTTATAAAAGAGTTTGTTTGGTTTTGACTATGTGGTTATCATGAAATAAAGAAAAAAGAGAATAGATTGAGTCCTAGATATTATTTAAAAAAGAAAAATAATGTACAGTTATTTTGAGAAAGGTTTTTTGCCTCAGCTTTGCCATCATATATTGCAAATCTATATACGTATAAATAAGAAATTGAATAAATATTATAAACTTTTGTGACACATTATCAACAAAAAAAAATATGGATAAAGAAAAAAAACAGTTTAGTCTAGACGTACACTTCTATCAAGTATAGAATTGGAAAGAAACAATTACAAGACCTAATAACATGACTATGTTATCTCTTCTTAGATTATCTATCGAGCTTGTCTATCATATTTTCCACAATCTTAATTAATTAAAACTTCTTTTTTTTTATTTATTATTCCGTAACATCTGTATATGATTTGATACTATCACAGACATCTATAATTAATATCAAGTGTACTTCACTTTTATTTGGAAGGTAGATTTTCAATTTAATCTCTTTTGAGAATACAATGAATGAAGCTAATGTCCTGCATTAATATTGTTTTTGATATAGTACTGCAATGCAATATTGTAGAGATTTGGTCCTTCTTTTTTGTTAGATAGAGTCAAGTACCTAGCATAATGTAGGAATAGAAGGCTATCATTATATCAAAAGAAAACATTCCATGCATTTTAAAACGATCGACATACACGAAATCGGAGCACTTTCTAGTACCGTCGGTTTCCCATAATTTGTGATAAGAGGGAAGTAAAACAATTCTATTTCGAAATAAAAGTTGTTCGAAAATATTTTTTTGATATGAAAACGAAAGCTTATGAAGTTCTCTTCTAAACGATATTAATTTGAATAGGGAGCATCTTCTCTTTGAGATGTTTCCAGAGAACTTAAACTTCAAATTGAACTACTAATGAAAACTATTTGCTGTTCAGTTTCTTGTTTGTTAGATCAAGTCGATAATAAAATAGGTCAAATAAATATATTTGAATACAAAAATTGTGAACGAAGTTGTAAAAGAATTTTTGTGAAATGTTTTGTTTTAAGATTTTTGTGATATTTGGAAAATATTACTGATCCAATTCTTTTATAGATATTTTGCTTCTTCTAATAAAAACAAAGAATCGAATCTCTACAACATTATATTGCAATGCAACATCTAAAACAAAACTATTGCACAAATTTCGACTCATTGCTTATTTTGTATGTTTGAATAATTCGTCTACATATTCTGAAACAGAAGATCACATATTTTAAACGTTTTGAAATATTCGTCCAAGAAAAAAAAATCAAGTGTCAAACGATT